AAGGTATAAAGTTTAAATAAAACTATGGTTGGACTATTGGGTTACACCGTTCTGTGGTCTTCCTCACTTTGGGAGTTTGTGATACATTAAAGGTAGCAGGATGGTTGCTTAGGTGTTAGTGATTGGAGCCCCTTTCGATGTAAAGTCTGATCGTATAGAAAATATATATAAAAAAAGAAAAAAAGAAGTATGTTTTAATTTTTAGTTGTTTGTTTCTCTTTTTCATATCATTTGTTGGGAATTTTAGGGTTTGTGGTGGAGATCTGGATACCAACTTGGATCGTGATATCACTTTCCGAACTGATATTTCTACCCTATGCCTGGGTTACGAGAAATTCAGCCTAGGACAATCCAAGTGGACACTTACGTTTCTAGGCACAGAAAACGTAAGCCAATATGCTAAAGGGTTCTGTGAATGTGTGATGAAAAACGGGAGCTCAAGAACGTCCCCCTTCTGGAAAGGAAGAGTTGTTTATATATTAAACACGATTAGGGTTTCATTAGGGTTGGGCCGTCATTAGTTGCTTTGGAAGCAAGTAATATTAATCCGGATTAGGGTTACCAAAACTAACGAGTTTCGTTAGTTTTACCATAATCACCCTCAAGAAATTGAGTTTTCCATTATGTTCCCACATGCAAAATTTGGTGAGGTTTTGGGGCGCTACCCCAAACCCCGTGGGGGTGCTGCCCTAAAATTCAGCGGGACCCCAGCCAGGGGCTCTGCCCCTTGGACCCCGCTAGGGGCGCTGCCCTAGACCGCCAAAGGGGCGCTGCCCCTTTGGAAACCCCGGACCCAGGGGCGCTGCCCCCGGACCCCCGACTAGTCGTCGAACCGGCTTCTGACTCGATCTTATACATGCGTGCACTCCGCACAACCCCGTACATATATTAGAGTACAAATCATGAAGCCCCTTAGCTCACATGTTAGTTCCAGTTACTTAAAATGACATGGTGACACTAAAATCACCAACATCATTTTCGTTCATTATTCATTTTCTTTATTTTTGCATACATATTTTATTCTTTGTTCTATTTATTTTCTACAGTTCTTGCTAGTTAGGTTTTCGTTTTTAGTTGTTAGTGTGTCTAGGTTACTACTTTATTACCCTCAACCTCTATTCCATTTCCAAAGTTATCCTTTCCTTACTCGAGGGCAAGTAAGGTCTAAGCTTGGGGAAGTTTGTTAGGTGCATTTTACATGCATCTTTTAGCACATTTTCATCGGTATTTCGTGATAAAAAGCTAACTAACTCTCGATTATTCTTATGTATTATGTGTTTCATGATTATTTTGTAGAATGCCCGTACTGCTCATGTTTGTTATGATTTTTCAGGGCAATTTGGAGCACATGGATGATTACGCGAGTTCGGGATGCGTTAGTGGATGCTTTGGAGCTTAATTGGAGTCTAGACTAAGGAAGGATGCCGAGGAATGATCAAGAACAGCTTGGAAGGAGAAACGACGATCGAAAAGAGAAAAAAACGAGGACTTGCGATCGCATAACTTATACCTGCGATCGCAACTTTAACCTTGCGATCGCATGTTTGGTCGCAGCTTCACTTCGGATATTTTTCGTGCCAAAAAATTCAAAAGGATGAGAAAAGACACTTTATGCGATCGCAACAACATAACATGCGATCGCAACTTGGCCAAAACATCTCGAAATAGCAACGCACTTCATTTAAAAGGTCTGGACGCGTATTTCAACAATACCTGCGATCGCAACTTGTATACATGTGATCGCATGTACGTCGTTTTTACAGTTGGACGTATAAATAGAGCCACATACTTGTCTAGTAACCCTAATTGGCGATTCTAAGGCGATTTTCAGAGACTTTCAAGTGAAGAACACATATCCGAAGGAGACGATTCAATTTCTTTTCATTGTTTAGTAAGATTTATCGTTTAGACTCTATTTCTACTGTTTGTAATCCGTTTTTAGCCATGTCAGGCTAAAAACTCATATTTCAGTTTCACAAGACGTAACCTTTTCGTATGATTAATCATTAGGCACGATGTTTGACTATGATTACTGTTTAATTTGATCAATTATGTGTTTAATTGAATGTTTGATTTTGATTTCAATTTATGTTGGCCACTTTAACTGTTTGTGAATCATTCTAGTTATCTGTTTGTTTAGATCAGTAATTGTCTAGACTAATTAGTAAAAAAGTAACAAATATTGGATTAATTCTGCGTTTAGGGTTAACTCTAATATGAATTGATCAAACAAGTTTTTACGCCACCGAGCTTATGAGAGGTATTGGAATTTACTGGGAAATTACACTGTGTTTAATGCAACTTTTCTTTGTTAATCAAGAGTTTATTTGGTTAATTTGGTAAAAAGTTAGGTTTAATTCAAATAACTTATTTTGATTAAATAATTTTTGTAATAGAGGCCATTAGAGCTTCTTAATGAACTTCAGTACCAGTAACAAGTGCACAGTCATATATTGTGTTGAAAGTTAATTACATGATCAGGGGAGTCACCGCGGAACTGAAATTATTTTCTCTATATTGAATTTTCCCAACCTTTTAATTGAGTTATTATTTTATGATTTCCAATTTTTTTTAGTTTTAATTTTCAGAAATAAACCCCCCTTTTTTCATGTTTTATACATTTGTCAAGAATTAGTTCGTGCCTTACGTAAAGAGGCAAAGACTTTAGGACGTGTCCCTGAGGATCCGACACTGCTTAGTAATACTACCTGTTAGTGCAAAAGAGCAAACTTATTTATATTTTTATTTGTTTAAATCGTGCACGACAACGGTTTTAACAATATACCTGACTTTTTTTCCATGGATACTACAAATTCTTGGATCGGTGCCCACTACATTCGTTAGATGTTTATAAAAGGAGATGGATATTTTTGCTACTAGAATAACATTTACCAAAAAAAATCGATGGTCAATATGCTTTGGAACAAAAAAATTCATGATAATAATCTTGAGCTCACCTCCACTTAGGGATTAGATATGAACCACACCACCAGAACCCACTTCTAGTTGTAAGAAGCAAAAAATGTAAAATTGAGACGGTTGTGAACATCTTGACTGAACGATTTGATTTCTTGTTAAATATGGGTGAATCTCCAACATTGATAGGCTTTTCAAGGGTTTCTTCACCAAACTTTTTTTTTTGTTGGATATATGGAACCAAAAAAGAAACACCAAACATGTAGGTTTCTGGATTTTGTAGGTATATAGAACCAAAAAAATCCATTTTTTGATTTTTTGTTTGTTAGTGATTATGGATTAATTGGTATTTATTTGATTTGTTTAACTACAGATTTTAAAATCAATTTGAAGACCCAAAACATAAAAACCAAAATCAAAGAAATCAATGTCGGCTTGATTTATTTGACAGTGGATTGGGATAACTGGGTTCAAAACCCAACTGGTGAACTCCGAGGACTACCATTTTCCCAATTATAGGCATTATTCTTGTGGCTAATGACTTACCATTCATTATTTCTTGTTTATGGCATTATCACCTGTTATAATTTGAGGCATACATACACTAAGTTGTCGTGGCCACCTCATCTTCAATCCCTCGTCTTCATCTCCACGACTCTTTGGGCATACACATGCCCATCAAACAAGAGAGGGAGAGAAAGAGGGGGAGAGAGAGAGAGAGCGAGAGAGAGAGAGAAAGAAAGAAAGAAAGAAAGAAAGAAAAATAAAGCAAGATAAAGATAGAGAGAGTGTGTGAAAAGGCATAGATAAAGTTACTCCCCACCACGACCACGCCCAAAACCTAACTTGCACTATCTATGAGTAAGGGTGTGTAGTCGCGCAAAGAGCACTCGTTGGACTTCAAATTAGAGGCGTTTTGTCGTCCCCTAGGGGCAGTGTTCACATCCTCTACGATTTTCATGTCATCACCACGCCTTTGGCTTTTTTAGTATACTCGATGGTCTTAACTGTTTTGCACTGTAGTTTAAAATGAGGGCTAAAGTTTCAAGTAATGTCAAATTTAAGGGTATTAGAGACCCGTAAAAAACTCATATTAGATTGTGTGTGTGTGTGTGTGAGAGAGAGAGAGAGAAAAAAAAGAGATAAAATGTTGTGTGTATGGTAAGAGTTAGGGGTGTGCATCAAACCGCATAACCGCCCGCACCGCACCGCATAATACGGTTTTGGACGCTCGTGGTGCGGTTTGCGGTTTGTAGTTTTCATAAACCGCACTATGCGGTGCGGTTTGCGGTTTATAGTCACCAAACCGCGGTTCAAACCGCACTGAAACATACCATATATATATATATATATATATTATATATATATATATATATATATATATATAATATATATATTATATACAACACGCTAGATGTTTACCACTTTTAATACCCTTAATAATATTTATGAGATTTCGATCGATAAATATGAGTCAAAATGGGAAACCAACTATATCAAAATTATGTGTTTACAGTACCATATGTTCATATTATAATTTTAAAATATTGTAAAATATTTTGATGTTATGAAACCGCATAAAATATACAGCAATTAATACATGCAATTAATATTTTCTTGATAGAATATAAAGCACCACACACTTATTATGTTTAAAACTAAATTTAATATTTATGTTTATGAAACCGCATAAACCGCAAAACCGCCCGCACAAAACCGCACCACATAACGCGGTTTATTACCTTTGCGGTGCGGTCTGCGGTTCCCGAAAATAACAAACCGCATATTCGGTGCGGTTTGCGGTTTTGAGGATAAACCGCACTGCGAACACCCTTAGTAAGAGTAGGGTGTTTATGGGCCCATCTTATATTTTTTATATTAATTAAAATACTAAAACAAAGAAAATGATTAAAAAAACACTAAATAAATAAATAAAGTATAAGGGCAAAATAACTATTTAGTTTCTTTTAACCAAATCCACACTCAAAAGGACCATCTATATTGAAAACCTTTTGTATCTTAACAAATAAAATAGAAACTAAAGGGACCGTATTTGCAGTTTTCTCTATATAATATTTACGAAGTGGTGTCGGCGATCATCGAGAGAAAATGGATGACGGCGAGGGAGGTCTGAGTTTCGACTTCGAAGGCGGCCTAGACGCAGCACCCACCCAACCCACCGCATCCGTCCCCGTAATCCACCAATCCACTGACAATGGACCATCGGCTTCTGCCGCTAACCTCAGCTACTCCACTCCCCCTCCGTCGGCTGTCACCGACCCTGCTTCTGCTGCCGCCGCCAACGCCAACTTCCCGGGAAGGAGGAGTTACCGTCAAACCGTATGCCGCCACTGGCTCCGGAGCCTGTGTATGAAAGGAGAGGCCTGCGGGTTTCTTCATCAATACGACAAATCACGAATGCCTATTTGTCGATTCTTCCGATTGTATGGAGAGTGCCGCGAACAGGACTGTGTTTATAAGCACACCAACGAAGATATCAAGGAGTGTAACATGTAATTTTCTCTCTATATATTCTCATTACTTTGCTTGAATTATATTATAGTCAATTTCATTCAGTTTATCGAATTCACTACTAAACCCCTACAACCCCTGATTTGATTGAACCAAACCCAGTTTAGGGTTCATGTGCCAAATCGATATATCGGTAGATTTTGCCTTATCAATTCAATTTAGTACGGGCATATCTAATTGCTTATCGATACAAGATCATTGAAGAGTTATTTTGATCCTAAATCTAAAAATACAGGTACAAGTTGGGATTTTGTCCAAATGGTCCTGATTGTCGATATAGACATGCAAAGCTACCAGGACCTCCTCCTTCAGTGGAAGAAGTACTCCAAAAGATTCAGCAGCTAACATCCTACAACTATGGCAATTCTAATAGGTTTTTCCAAAACCGAAATGCTAACCAATCACAGCAATCTGAAAAGTTTCAATTTCCACAAGGTAACAATGATACAAATCAAATTAATAAACCTGCTACAACAGATGCAAATTCATTGCAGCCTGTGCCTCCTTCTTCACCACATCAGCAGCAGCAGCAACAGGTTGCACAGTCACAGCAACAGGTTAGCCAATTAGGTCAATCCCAAGCACAGTCAAATGGTCAACAAGTTCAAGCAAATAAAACTTGCATACCCTTGCCTCAAGGAACATCAAGGTGTAGTTTTTATTTAGGCCTTGTATATTACTTTTTGTACCATAATGTAGATGCCATTGTTGTAATTATGTCAACTAGCACTAGCAATAATATCAGTTTTCATTTATTTCAGTGTTTGATTTCCCTGACTTTATGTATTAAGTCGTTCTTTCTGCATTAGGTTAAAGAACAACATCCATATATAGCTTACCAGATTAAGTCCCATCTCCATTAAGTCAAAAGGAAACATAATGTTAGAGTCTTTTATTTGTTGTCATTATTAAGAAAAGTATATCATCATTCTGCTTTTATTCTCTTTTTGGCATGTTTTTTGACTAATTCGTCTTCTTGAACTATGCATCTGAAAAATTAGGTATTTTATTGTAAAAAGTTGCAATCGTGAAAATCTTGAGCTATCAGTTCAACAAGGAGTGTGGGCCACCCAAAGAAGCAATGAAGCTAAACTAAACGAAGCTTTTGATTCTGTGGAAAATGTTATTCTAATATTTTCTGTCAACAGGACACGACATTTTCAGGTAATAAGTTAAAAACAACATTTTTAAATCCACTTTATTGCATAAATGATGATTTTAAAAAAAAGTATATTACTGTTGTTTTTTCAGGGGTGTGCAAGGATGACTTCCAAAACTGGTGGCTCTGTTGGTGGAGGCAACTGGAAATATGAACATGGGACTGCACATTATGGACGCAATTTCTGTGTCAGATGGCTCAAGGTATTTCCTTACAAAAACATCCCCTAAATTTTCTGAAATTGCAAAAATGGTCCCTGTGCTTTCTGTAAATATCAAAACAGACCTTCAAGTGAAAGTTTTATCTTCTGTGCAGCTATGTGAGTTGTCCTTCCACAAAACTCGACACCTCAGGAATCCTTACAATGAGAACTTACCAGTGAAGGTACTATTTTTTTTTTTTGCTTTTATACCTATTTTTTTTATTTAATTTTATTTATTTATTTTTGGGTATTGTGGTTATAGATAAGCAGAGATTGTCAAGAGCTAGAGCCATCAATTGGTGAACAATTGGCTTCACTTTTATATCTTGAACCAGATAGCGAACTCATGGTACCCTTTTTTTCTTCTTTTTCTTATAGAATTATAAATTATAATTTGTACATAATATTTAATTATCTATATTTTTATGTTTCTTTTGTAGGCAATATCAGTTGCTGCAGAATCAAAACGGGAAGAGGAGAAAGCAAAAGGATATAATCCCGAAAATGCCACTGAAAATCCGGATATTGTCCCATTTGAGGACAATGAAGAGGAGGAAGAAGAGGAAGAGGAAGAAAGTGAGGAAGAAGATGAAGGTTTTGATCAGGGTGGTTTTATGGTGGGACAAGGCGGCAGAGGAGGAGGAGGAAGGGGCGGCAGAGGGATGTTATGGCCGCCACCTCATATGCCCTTAGGAAGAGGGCCCCGCCCTATGCCTGGAATGAGAGGCTTCCCTCCTCTCATGATGGGGGCTGATGGGTTTTCTTATGGGCCCGATGGGTTTCCTATACCTGATCTTTTAAACATGGGCCCTCGTGGGTTTGGCCCATTTGGGCCTAGATTTTCCGGTGACTTTCAAAGGCCACCATTTCCTGGTATGATGTTCCCCGGCCGGCCTGGGCCCCACCAAGGGAACTTTCCCGGGGGTGGGTTTGGGATGATGATGGGGCCCGGGCCAGGACCTGGGCGTGGTGGCCCGTTTATGGGTTTAGGTGGAAGAGGTGGCCGACCGGGTTTTCCACAGCAGCAGCAGCTTCCACCTTCTCATAATCGGGCTAAGAGGGATCAGGCGGCTGGTGGTGGTGCCGCCCAGGGTATGGGCCAAGACGATGAGGCTCAAGTTGGTGGTGAAAGTACGTTTAAAAATGGTGAAAGTGAAAGTGAAGATGAGGCACCGAGGAGATCTCGACATGGTGAAGGGAAGAAGAAGAGGCGGAGCTCTGAGGGTGATGCCGCCACAAACTCCGGTGACGGAAGTTAGGTAATGGCCGGAAATGTCCACTTGATTACTGTTGGTTTAGTTTGTCATTAGAGATTGGATATTTATAGGTGTTTAGTTTATAAAAGGCAATGTATATTAGCTTTATGTATGCGAACACAGGAGGAACACCCTGAGAATTCATATGTATGCAAAAACATCATGTAACTTTGTCCGGTCAAATTTAGAACGGTTTTTGATTAAATATGTTTCATTTTTTTCCAGATATTTGCAACAAATGGTTCTTTTGGATCAGGTAATTCACCTGTATCCTATTTAAATGGTTGAAATGTAGTTGTATTAATTGCTAAAAAATGACACTTTTGCATGGAATAAAGAAGCATTGTTGCATAAACCGGTATGGTATTCACAGTGTCGCTTGGCCTTCGTGAGCTGTGAGTCTAAAGGTTGTTGCATAAACAATCATTTTCCGTTTATATAAATACAAATACGTATAGTCGCTGAACAAATGAATGATTTAGATTTTGAAATATCTTATTGGTCTCAACCTACTAAAGTATTGTTGTGTCTTGGAGAGGTAGGAGTTAGGTGGATGGCTAACCTACTTAACATTGTCTTAGATACTTCCAAGTTCCAAGGTGCTCAAAGAGTAAAAATCAAGTAGTGTGATTTCAATTTATATAGAACAAGGTTTTGCGGTGAGGACTAAAATTACTTAGTCATGCCATGAAACTATGATTAATGAAACTATGGGAGAGTATTGGAGGCACATCACAACTGTGTCAGAAAACCAATTTGGTTTCATGTGTGGGAGGTTGACAAGTGAGGGGATCCATCTCCTTAGGCGCATAATGGAGAAATATAGAGAAAGAAATAGGAATCTCCACATGGTGTTCATCGCTTGAGAGAATGTGTACGATAACATACCATGTAAGGCGATTTGGAGGACTTTGGAATCTAGACGTGACACTGGGAAATATATCATGGTTATTCATGATATATATTGTCAGTCTACAACTTGTGTTATGAACCATGGCGTAGACACAGTCGTTCCGGTAGAAATAGGCATCCAATATGGTTCAACCATTAGCCCATATATTTTCGCGTTGATCTTGGACGAGATGTCCAAGAGATTACCTTGGTGTGTGCTTTTTGCCAATGACATTGTGTTGGTGGTCGAATCAAAGATTGGTTTGATTTTTGAATGCCCAGTAGGACACCTAGAGGTTGAAGAAGTTAGTAGATATGGTGCTTCAGATCAACACTGTTAAAACTATATATACCTTTCAGTGGGGAGAATAATGATGGAGTACATGTAACTGTAGTGAATCAAACTCTTCACCTCAAGGAGAGTTTCAAGTATTAAGGGTCGATGATCCATAAGTAAGGGGTGCAGAAGTAGATGCCACCTATTGCATTAAGCCCTGTTGGTTAAAATAGAGGGCGACCTCGAGAGTTTTGTGTGATAGGAAGATTACATTAAAATTGGAGAGGATTGCGGTTAGGCCTGCCATATTGCCATATTATCTGGATCCAATAAGGAGCATGATAGGAATATAGAAATATCATAAATGAGAATGTTGTCGTAAGCTTGCAGTTGAACTTTGCTAGATAGGATACCAAACGCAGCCATTAGAAATTCATTAGGAGTGGCACGGATCAACTAATTAAAGGAATGACGATTGAAATAGTATGGGCATGTCCAAAGGAGAATACCATCAGTGGTGGTAGGGATGGTTGAGTTAACAATGGTTGCATGGGTGGTGGTAATAGGAGGAGAGGACTTCCTAGAAGAAAATGGAAGGATAGATTAAGGCTACACATATGACATTAGATTGCAGGGTGTGGAGACTTATCATCGACCTTCATGGTAATTGAGTAACTTAGGTATCTATGTAGGGCTTATGTGTGTCATTTGTAACTTTGTTTTGTTACCTGCTTCAATTCTTGTATCCTTCTCGATTTTTATTGTAGATACCTACATTTTAGCTTAGATGTTTGTATTGTGATGTATTCGTCATGTTTCACTACTCATATTGTGACTACCTCTTGTTTGCCTCTTTTAACGGTTCTTGGATTCATTTGATACTATGATTTAGGTGTTGTTTGTTTTTTCGAAGTGAAAATTCATAAAGTCTGCGGACCACCTCTGCAGCCCTCTACAGCAGAAGAGGTGGACCAAACGGCTGCAGTCTATTATAACAAGTATGTTTGTTTTTTAGCATCTGCAGACTGCTGCAGTAAACTGAAATTTAAATAAACTAATTTTATAAACTGAAAATAATTCTCAACACCGAAATTTTAATAATCCTAGTCTTAAAACATTGAAAGAATACTAAAAAGAACATATAAAAAAACAAAAATATAAATTTTTTTAAACTATCAGTTTTATTCTAGAAAAAAAACTAATTTTAAAAAAACATTAAAAAATAAAAAATAATAAAGAAAATATTGTAAATAATGTCTAAAAAGTTCGTAAAAAAATTACACATATTAAGAAAGATGGAACCGAAACTGAAAATATTATTAATAGAAACGGTAAAAAAAAAATTAAAAAATATAATAAAAATAAAAAATAAAAATCAAAGTTTAAAAAAAAAATCAAGTTATAAAAAATTGTGGAAACTATAGAAAGAAATTGTATCAAATCTATAAATCAAAGTTTTAAAAAAATCAAAGTTTAAAAAGAAAAAAAGATCAAAGTTTAAAAAAATTAAAGTTATACCAAATTTCTAAAAAAAAAAATCACTTGGAAAAAATAAAAACCGAAGAGATTTGAAGAGACAGGTCAAGTATTGCAACACAACGCATAGATTTTGTAATTTAAAGTCTTCTAAAAAACAAACTGTTACAAGAGAGTAAGTGTTGCGTGTGTGCTGCACCGTACAGAAAAAATGGTGTGGAGATGTTTTTTTTAAAAAAGCCGCACCTTACTCATGTACATGTTTTTGTTTCTTCTATGTGAAGTAGTGATTCTACCTCTAATGGAAACATGTTGACTTCTACCTCCTCCAACTCCGTTCCGATGGGATTATCACGGTTTTTTGTTATTTGATTACAACTTAAATAAATAAAAAAATCTGAAGTCTAAACATCTTATTTAAATGAGGTTAAACAGGTTTTGCGGTTATTTATTTACCACTATCGCCGCCACCATTCAACACCAAATTTCTGGTGGCAGGACACTGTCGTGCCGCTCCATTTCAATAAAAATCGAGCATTTCCAATACATCAATAAGCAAACATACTATCAAAGCTTTTCATTGGCATCATCCAATAAACATGACTTATCTTATTTTATGATAAATTAATGAAATTTTTAGACATTAAGAATCAAACGTCAAGATCTTAACATACAACCACTTGCTAAGAGGATCTTCAAATGAGTACCCCCATCACCGGAACCAATTTCCAGTCACCGGAGCAACCACCACCACCGGTGGGAGCGGAAAGAATCATTACCCCTATTTCCGACGCCAACCCCCATCAATCAATAATGTACACAATTAGTCCAAAATACACATCAAAGCACATTTGTTTCCCTCTCCTACAACCAGAATAATGAGCATGTGGACATTACTCCGGTCCACCACCTCCAGCATCCGTTTTGCCATCGTTCTCATCCGGTTTTCCAGTGGCGGCAGACGGCGGAGGCACCTTCGGAACAATATCATCATCAAGATTACCATTCGAAAGACTAACTGATGTTTCAGCAGACTCCACGGTTGTAACCGGTGGTGGTTCGATGGGTGGTTCGCCGGAGGGTTCGACCGACTCCCGCCATTCAATCCATTCCGGTGGCTTATCACTCTCACTTGGTTTCAAATCCTCAGTCGATTTCCCGATGACAGTGTCATCCGGGCCTGGTTTCGACTCCGGGACCTCAGATGTGGCAGCATCAACCACATCTTTGTCATTTTTATCAGAAGTGACATCATCATCACCGCCACCACTGCCGCCTCCAGCAGCAGACTCGGTGGTGGGTGAGGGTGATGAAGCTACTGCACTGGTTGATTGTTCTTGATCCGCCCTCTCCTCCTCAAAAGCAAACCAATTTGAATTTGTGAAGAGCGACCCACTGAAATAAATAATTCACCAATCATTAACTGAAACTGCCACGTAAGATTATATATAATCTTAGCCTAGTCAGCAATATGACTAGACAAATAACACACCTTTCTTGGTCATCTCCCAATCGAAGTGAAGATATCACCACTTCAGCAGATTCATCATCAAAGTAGACATCCTGCAAAAGCTTGCACCGTTACTGATACTGATATTGTTACTAATACAGATATTGTTACTGACAGTGATACTGTTACCTCATCGTCTCTTTCCAATGAGCCATGACCCTAAACACAACCAAAAAAAAAAAAAAGGTTACAGCGATCAATAGTAGAAAAAATAGTGTATTTAGTTTAAATTTTAAAATTAGGAAATAAGGATACCTCATCATTATCATCATTTTCATAGATACCATATCGGAAAGCCTGGCTTAAGTTATTGGCTAAAGCTGCCACGTCATAGTCTCTATCTTGATAATCTTCATCATCACTATCCCTCCCACGGTCATGAAGTGTAGTAGGTCTCCTATTTATTTAATTAAAATAGAGAGAAAAACAATTATATTATATTACAACAAATATAGTAAATATATTGTACAAAATACAAATTACAAATATACCCACCCGCATGCCCACTGATAGACATTTTCAAGCGTATTGCGTTTAAGGAGTACATCTGTATGCCACTCAACCCATTCACTATCACCCTGTCAAACAAGAAAACATAACATGTTATCTGTATGAGGCAAAAGAGACATGAGAAAGACAGGTGTCGACTAAAACAGGAGGACACGTGGCAACCTGTAGATATGACTCTATGAAGCTGTTATTTGTTCCTTTTTCGATGAGTTTGTTTGCAATACGTGTCATGTGACCAACATTTCCTATCCTTGGTGCTGTTCTTCCTTCAGCAGGGACTGTTGGCTGCAACATGTATTCAATGAATTCCAATTACAGACTTTACTCTCACTACCAATAATAGCAATGCACTTTTTACCAATATGATCATTGTACTTTATTTGTCACATGTTGCTATTATGTTAAATTGTAAAATGAATAAATAAATCCAAGTATATTGCTATTATGTGTAAAGAAGAAAGTAGAGCATTACATTCTTTGGATCAGAGTCCAATGCACAATTCTTTTCAGCATCAAGAATTTTCCTGACAAGAAGACAATCTTCAAGAACATGTTTGATAAGTGAAGAATTCTTGCTTTCAAGGCAAGAATCTATTATCTGTTCAATGTGGTGATGGATGAAGTTATTGTAAGGGTACCTAAAGTCAATAAACAGTGTTGGTTATAAAATGATATAATGTATATATTTGTTACTCATAACTCACATAACATTCTAGAAGATAACACATACTCAAAAAATAATTCTAGAATACGTCTTAATGCACCAAGGCGTATCAACTCCTTCTCAGCAGCTTCACTGCTAACAGTCATTAAGACCGAGATGAATTCAATAATCTGAAATTTTCCATTGTTAAGTAACAATAAGTTATTTTTTAATTCATGGTATGATAATTTTATAATATAAAATAGGTGAAGTACAAAAATAACCTTTAGGCGATGTTTCCCAAGAGGTGGCTGCAACTTGCCATATGTTGTAAGTAAAACATTTACTTCTGCTGAAACATTCAAGAGCTTTAACAGATTCCCTATACATTTTGAAGGCATGATTTCAACATAAGAACTAGTTTTTTTAACAATAATTTATATTTATTTACAAGATAAACAATACCTAGGCTCTCCAACATGCCTTCCACAGTCTCAGGTTTGGCTGATGCTGCAGGACCATGGGTTGACTGGCGATTGTACATGTAATAAGTACCCGAGGTTTGTCTCTTGGGATCCAACAAAGATATGCATACAGACAATGAATGAACTAAAACTGAATTTGGCCTTGAGTCCTCCAAAGCATGACGAAATAATCTTGCTATGAAGCTGCAAAAATTATATATAAAATGTTTATGTATTTATTAAATGACAATTCAAAAAATTTAAATACTAACCTTGGGCTAGATATTTTAGCAGCCAGTCCAGGGGGAGCATATCTAGTTATAGCACAAAGAGCTTCTGCTGCATTTGCATGCACTTCAGGACAATCCTTCAAAAAGTTTGAATTTTAAATTTTAGTTATTAGTTCATAATTTTATATGGTCAAACAACGGATAGAAATAAAACTTACTGTAGAACTGAACTTGTCAACAATCATTTCCAAGACATCTGTATCTTCTAGCCACTGCATTGAGTCTACATAGCTGGTGTAAAGATGTTCATCAGCACCAATTAGACGAATAAGAACCTGTAAAAGAATAAGAAATTAGATGGGATGCAGATACAGTGGTAAAAAAAAAAAAAAAAAAAAAAAGAATAGTAATGGAAGAGAATTCACCTCCATGATGGATGTAATTCCTATTAGGTCAACTAGTTTCTTGATAATTTCCTGATGGGACTGGACAAAAAGTCATAAAGAACTTAGAAAATTGAATACAAAAATAATTACACAAAAGAGTACATATATATATATATATATATATATATATATATATATATATATATATATACTTACTTGAATATAGTTCATTAAGGGAACTGTCTTCCGTAACAACAGACATACAACAACCTAGAAACATCCAATATGAGAAGGGAACATAAAAATGAACAGTTGAAACATAGATTTCAGCCAAAATCCATCAGAAAAATCAAAATGATAAGTGGAGTGAGCTTACTTTACTGAAATAACCAGCAAGTAGAGCACTATGTGGGTGTTCTGGTTCAAGGAAGGAGAATAGCAAGTTCATCAACTGCAACATAACATGAAAAGTTTCTTTCACAAGTCAATCACAGTCAAACAACCCTAAGAACACTTCTGATTTTGAACTCAATAACCTAAAAAGATAAAGATCGACTGGTACATACCTCCTCATCTTCAACCAAGGCTTTGAGGATGATATCAACTTCACAAGTAAAGATCTCACAAGCAATAAAAGGGAACCTAAAACATAAAAGTACTTATTATTAGAAAGCATCTGAAGAAACTAATTCTTAAGTGATAGACCAGAGAAACCTACTTAAATGTTCGCCCTTTTTCCGCATCTTCGGGAGCTTCTTCCACTATGTAACGAACAAGTTGCTCAACCTGAGTCCTTTCCCTCAAACTGCAATAAACTCAAAGATGACTAAAAATTGGAAATGACTAAGAAAGATTAAATTTTATAACAAGGTGTCACAGCACCACAAGTGAGAAGTATATGCTACAGGATTACATGGAGATAAATTTAATGCGAATTATAAGACTTACAAATTAATAAGGCGGTTGTTAAGAGCTTTGCATTCTTGGATTATTTCGTCCTCATCTAGAAGTTCCTCTAGTGTAAAATTTTCCTTGTCCAGAATTGTCTCCACCTGGGTTGACAAAAGGTGAGTATGATATCTCAGACCACTCAAAGACAAAGTGGTTGCCATTACAATATTGTCATTAACTAATGATTTGGGCCATGGGTAAGGAGCATGATATGGCAATCACATTCTTGTTTGCCTTTTCTTGGGAACAATATATCATATCAGGCTCTCTTTATATTCTCGACACAGACAAAATTAATAAAGCGCGAGATTGATCCAATTCATCCAACAACAGAGAAAATGAAGTTGTTTCTAATCCTTTAGGAGATCAGGAATGAGGGCCATGTGTTTCAAGTGTATTATCCAAGTAAATGGACACATACGATTCTAGTTAAGGACACCTAAGTCTTTTGGGTTACCTTATATTAACATAGATTTTTTATCATGTTCAATATACATGTTGGAGTAGGAAACCAATCAACCAGGCAAAACCAAGCAAGATGCCAAGATGGAGATATTTTTAATTAACCATACCCAGACATGCCTACAGTCATATGTTGTCCACAATAGAATACAGTTCCTGTCACTTTCCCAAACCCATCATCAACAATAATCTACACAAACAGATGCGATTCCTTTCTCTATGCGCACCCAAAAGAACAAAACCCCATGGAACTTGACTTAACACATCAAACATAAACACAAATTTTCAAATATACACTTTCTATCATATAGGTCTCTGGGAAATAAGAAAACCTGAGGCTACTACACTAATATTGTTAAACAGCATCAAATTTGTGTCAATTTTTTTCATTTCATTTGATTTCCTTTCATTTTCCTCATCAACCAACAAAACAAACGTCTGAATGAAGAAACAAACTTACGATTAGCTTAAATAGTAACTAATCAAAACCAGGATCTAAAGATATATATAAGCATCTAACCAAATTATCTGTAAGAAACATCAAGGATTTACCGGAGACGTAGTGGACAACCCGGTCATACGCCAAAACATCGTGAAATTGAATAGGAATGGTTTGAATTCAGATCTGCAGCGCCAGAAACGTAGCTTAAAGATCACCGCAAGAAGCTCCAAAATCTGAGAAACGAAACCCTAGAATTCGAAAATGGAAGCAAAGAGGTTATGTTTGTGGGAAAATTATGTGGAAGAGTTGATTGATTCAAGGGTTAGAGATAGAGAGGGAGAGAGAGGGAGAGAAAACCTGCAATCGCGGGAGGGGGTATATCTCTGTTGCAACTATCTCCTCCTCCTTCTATGTCCATCGATCCATTTTCAAATTCCAAAGTTAAATCTATGTACAATTATTTTGCAAGTAAACCTATTTTTGTAAAACATTAATTTATGCAAAAAAAAAAAAAAAAAAAGCCACATGTTTTTATTTGTCAATTTATATAATAGTCATTTTTTCCGAGTTTTTTACAAAAACATTGTAGTTTTGAAAAGTATTTACCAAAAGGGTAGTTTAAAAATTATTTACAAAGTAATTGTAGTTTTATTTAAAAGAATAAAAAAAAACCCTATTAGCCTAGGAAAGGATTGCAACATTCCACACGCGTTCTTGCCTCATTGTTCATCACGCGCATTCATTCTTCTTCCCTGGACGACCAATCATTGGAACCCTTCATCACAATCATCTTCTTTAATTTTTCCTACGGTAAGACTTTCTTCTAACTGACTTATTGGTTTATGTTAGTGTCAATTTTTCCTAGGTCGATTTTTGTTGGATAAAATGGCTTTATTGATTCATTCACGAATGCACTTCATGTTTTTATATTAATTTTAGGGCTTTTAATTTTATTGTTCTTGAGTCCCTTTCATCAATGTGTAGTAAATTGAAGCAAGATTGATGACTTTCAACTCCTTACTGTTAATTTCTTTCAAATTTTCTTTTGTATATTTTATAGGTTTTGTAGTAAATGCATTTATGTATAAATTAATGTGTTACTTTATTTTAATAATTGTTTTTGTTTCTCTATAGATTTTTATCGACATGACATCAAAATTTGTTACTTTGCTATGTTATCGGGACGGAAAAATTTGTGATGGGAAAGAAGGTATAATTTACAACAAGTCTCCGAGTAAAGCTATTAAAGTTCAATGTGGAATACAATTCAATGACCTTATCAATCAAATCCATTTTGCAACATCAATTGACAAGCAAAAATACCATATTAAAGTAATTTGCAGATATCCATCGGTTGTTGGAAAGGTAATGAAATATATTCCTCTTCCGATCAAGGACGATAATGACGTTGAGATCATGTTTGATGTGCTTAGTCTTCATCAAGAATTAAGCAATATTGATCTATACTTAGAGGTTGACGTTAATCGAGATAAAAATCACTTGAATATAACACCCAGGTACTAAAAATCATATTATACATCAAAGTTCAAAATTTTACCGTATATTGTTTCATTATGAAATTTGTTTGGGGCTACTTCTGTCATATTATGATTTTTGGATGATTTTTGTGAAATATGTTAGGGGCATTGTATAATAAGTTTGAGGCTATCTCTGCCACTGGGAAAAGTTACTAATGTTGTCTATAAACTATTTCTTTGAAGAAAAAGTCATAGAATAGGATGGACAGAATAGGATGTACAGGGAATTAAAAATAGTCAATTTGCTTTACTTTTTATCTATACACACATTCACCATAAAGGCTAAATAAGCAATCCATTTTAATACGTTCTTGTTAATTTTTTCATCTAAATTTCGTAATTATAATTTGTTATTGTTTCCACTTATAATTTTTTTTTGTTATATTACTCGCAGAACTCAAGAATCAGTTTTGATAGAAGAAGAAAGGAACACTATTTTATTACCTACTGTGAATAATATTGATGTTGTGTCAGACATGATTCACAACGAGGACTTCAACATAATTTCTCAATTTGCCATTGTGAACAATGGAATGAGTAGCGGATTTGACACGGACAATGAAGGATATGAAAGTGGGGATGAAGATGAAACTGATAATGGAGGAGATGTAACCGCAGATGGAGCTAACATCGAGGTACCTTCTAATTTTAATAGTTTAGAAGGAATAGATGTGGCTAATGTTGACAATTGGGCGGCGTCACATTCTGAAAGTAAAAGTCATTTAACTCAAGAATTGGGAGAAAATTCTTTTAAGAATAAGGATGAACTTATTAGAGCTATTAAGCTTTACACGATCAGGAAGCATCGGCAATATGAAGTGGTTGAAACATGTCCAACAATTTGGAAGATAAGATGTAAGTTGTGTTCACAAACTGGTTGTAAATGGCAATTGCGTGCATGTAAACGTAAACGTAGTGGGTATTTTGAGATAACACGATACATTGGTCCACACACTTGTTTCCAGTATAGGATTACTCAAGATCATCCAAATCTGGATGCGAGCTTGATCGCTCAAGAAACTGAACACCTTATTAAGGAACAACCATCTATTAGTATTCCTACCTTGAGAGCTGAAATAATTGATAAATTAGGATATACTCCTTCGTACAGGAAGGTCTGGGTGGGAAAGCAAAAGGCGATTGAACATATATTTGGAAACTGGGAGGAATCTTATATTCTTTTACCAAAATTTATGGCGGCACTTCAATTTTACAATCCAGGAACTATAGTTGAATGGTGCACTGCTAGATTGAGTAATGTGGATCACATGGATAATAATATGGATCGAGGGGAGAGTAATGTTGATAAAGTGGAGTTCAGACGTGTTTTTTGGGTTTTTGGTCCTTCTGTCAACGGATTTGTGCATTGTCGGCCTGTTGTTAGCATTGACGCGACACATTTATATGGTAAGTATAAGGGAAAGATGATGATTGCAATGGGAGTTGATGGTAACAATCAGATTTTTCCTCTTGCGTTTGCTATTGTTGAGAATGAGTCATATAGTAGTTGGTATTGGTTTCTTAATCATGTCAAGAAACATGTGGTGAAAGAACGTGACGGCATTTGTTTAATATCTGATCGTCATAGTGGAATCCTAAAGGTAGTTAATGAACAAGGATCACCATGGTTGGAGCCCCATAGTTTTCATAGGTATTTTTTATTTAATTTCGTTAACCACTTTTATAGTACTTTTAATTTATTGTTCACATTTGAAAGGATTTGTACAGGTACTGTTTGCGACATTTTGTCAACAACTTTCATGACAAGTTTCGCAACTCACATTTAAAAGTTTTAGCTTATCGTGTTGGAAGTCAAAATCAAGTTCGTAAGTTCAACTCTGTCATGGACGAGATTGGAAAACTAAATGCACAAGCTCGTCAGTGGCTCGAGGGACATTCACTTTGTAGATGGACACTTGCACATGATGGTGGAAGACGTTATGGGCTGCTCACTACAAATATGCCAGAGATTTTTAATAGTGTACTTAAAGGTGCTCGTTTTTTACCAATCACTCCATGTGTCAAACTTACATTCTATAGATTAGTTCACTACTTTGATGTGAGACGTTCTTTGGGACCTACTGCTCAAGCTAATGGAGATGTGTTTACTCCTTATGTTGTTGTAAAACAAGCGGCATCAATGTCAAAAGCTAGTGCACACACCTTGAAATCTTTCAACCGGGAAAAGGGAATAATTGAGGTGGTTACTCAAAAAGGAAAAAATGTGCAAGTAGTTGATTTGGAGAAAAAAACTTGCACATGTGGTAAGTGGGAGATACATAAGTATCCGTGTTCTCATGTCTTGAGTGCATGTGTCTATCTTTCTTTAAATACGAGTCAATATATTCAACAATATTACTCAATTTTTGAATATTCTGCTACTTGGGCATCTGATTTTTCCCCGGTCCCTCATGAAGCATATTGGCCCGAGACATCTATTCGAGGAATGCTTCCAAATTCAGAGTTAAAACGAAAGGAAAAAGGTCGCCCTCGCTCGACAAGGCTACGGAATGGAATGGACATTAAAGAAGGAAAGAAAGTTAATCTTTGTGGATTGTGTAGACAAAGTGGTCATAATCAAAAAACATATCCTTCTAAACCTAGAAAACGACCTATAGATATGTGAAAGTGATTGATTGAGTAGTATTTATTCTAGAATTTTTGGTTATTTATGTTTAAAAAATACTTATTTTATATTAATAATTATTGATTATTTAAGATTTATCCGAGTTATATTTATATTTATACCATTTGATGTTCATCTTAGTTTTGTTGGTATTTTGTATGGAGAGTATGGTTGTATTCAAAATGATTATAAATTTTGAAATCACACGTTGTTTTATAAAAAAAAAAAACTATGTACAATAAAACAATTAAGAATTACTTATTATTGTTTGTAATTTTTAATAAGTTTATGGATTTTTAACAGCTTAGAATAGTTATGTTCACCGCTCAAAATGATTCAATTGAAAAAAAAAATTAATATAATAAATTAATAAAAAGTAAGGTTACGTGGTCTTTTCATTCTCTTGTAAAAAAAATTATATTGTGGACCTAATTATAAATGATAAGTCACATAATTAACATCTAAAATATATTTTATTAAATTTAAGTAATTGGAAGTTACCAAAAAAAAATATACTATGTTTTTGTAAATAAGTTTGAAACAACAATGGAATGGTAAATATTTTTTAAAACTACAACACTTAGGTACAAAACTCCATTTTTTCCATATACAATCATATTTTTATTTAGTATCACGTTTTAATTAGCAACTCCTTCTAGGCCAGCAATATCAGATGGTCTTTCCTTTTTAAGGTTGAGGTTCAAAGTCTTGTTTGAAAAATAGATGGATTCATGAATAATTTACGATTAGATTAGATTTATCGTTATTTAACAAAAGTATTACATAATTTAAAACACTTTAGTAACAAGTTAAAATATGATTACTTGATTAGTTAAAAAGTTACTTATCACCATGAAAACATTTTTTAGACTTTAATAAAATATCATAAATATCACAAGTATTTAGTTAAAAAGTTATTTATCACCACGAAAATATTTTTTAGACTTTAATAAAATGATCATAACTATCACAAGTAAATACAATTTATGATTTACAAACAAATATTTATGATAAATTTTGGTCGCTACAAAATAATGTTTGCTAATGATTCGTGGGTTAATTTTTCTCTCATGAGTAGTAATGTTTTGTTTTAGGGGTTCAGAGATTCTACGTTTTGCATTGAGATTTTAGCATCCTTCGAATTATTAGTCATTCGTTGTGATCTCAATTCAATTGTGTTTCCATACAACAACACATGAGTATGTTGTTTTCAAGTCAATACGATGTTCCACCTCATCGGAGGCAAACGTAAAAGAAGACAAACATTAAAATTATAATAATTTCTGAA